TTATTTTCTAAAATTATTAAAAAATATTAAATATATAAATCAAATCTTTCTCAATCCCTCAATTTAAACTTTATCACCCTCTCTTCCTCCATGTCCATTAATTAACGAAGAAAAACAAACAGGAATAAAGAGACATAATAAAGGAGATATCTACCCTCACTCTCCTCCACTCCCCCTCCAAATCCTCCAATCCAAACAGGTGCTTAGTCCCAAGTCTTTCTGATTCTCAAGTAACCGAAACCTAAAATATACTTGATCACGTTTCAATTTCACATTCTTTATCCATGAACATAAAAACCCAAGACTCACAAACTATAATTTCTGCAAAATTTTCAGTATTTTTCAAGCAACCACACAACCGACCAACCAAGCAATATCAGATGAATAAAAAAATAGATCTATCTACACTACATAAAACCAAGAAAAACAACACACGAATCAAAAACACAAAAAGAAGTAAAACGAATGAGAACCACAATTTCAAATTTGAACTCACTTCCAATTGATTCCACACAATCCTAGGCCACTTCTTCGTTGGTGGGAGGCCTATGCCCCAAAATCTCCATGAAAATCCTCTTCAACCTCCTTATTAGACTTCACCAGTGAGAATTTCGCCCTCCCTCTCTATCACCATCATCGGGTTCCTCTTTCTCCCATGCTCAGTGACTTCATCATCTCATTCCTCAAAGGAGAAAAACTGGTACCATTATTTACTTTCCTCTCCTCAATTCTCAAGTTCTCCCAAGAAGAAGAAAATGCATTTCCCTGCTCCTGGAAGAGGACAAGAGCCCGGAGATATGATTTATGGCAAAGCTGGAAAATTCCAGATCTGGGTTTGCTAACAGTGCTATAGTGTCGGGCTATGAACTCATAGCTGCTCAACGACCATAGTTGGCCATCACTGGACTTGGCTTTGGTAGTATCCTGCGCTTGGTGACGACCAAGCGGAGGAGGTTTTTGTTGGGTTGGATTGGTGTTCGACGAGCAAGAGTCGATGGGAAAACTGATATGGTTCTAAAAGATAGACGCGGGAGGGGGCTAACGAAAAGAAAAATGGAAAAGACGTAGACTACTTAAAAGTAAGTCAATGATACAATTTCCTATTTTCTTTATTTTTTTCCTTTTTAACAGTGACAATGCGCCGATGATAAGATTAAGATACAAGAAAAAATAAAGAAAATTAAAAAATTCCGAGACTTTGTTCAAATAAATATATATTTTTTAAAACTTTACTATATTAATTAAGTATATAAACTGCTCTTGGGCTTTTGATCAGTAACATCAGGTACGTATAAATATATTTTTCTTAGAGTAATAATACGAATTTAATATTTTGTAAATTTGTTAAAAAAAATTAAGTATATAAACTTTTTCTTTTAATTAACAGTATTATATTTTAAAAAATTAATTAATAATAAGATTTTTACTATTT